TCAGCTCAGTAGAGCTACAGGCAGCACTCTGCCCTCATCCTACTGTTCTTTCCACAGTGTTCCAATGTATCATGTAATTCCAGAAGTGTTCTAGTGACCCCAGCTCTCATCCAGCTAGCCCAGCCCCAGTACAAGGCCCTTAGATCTTCTGGAGTTATCCTGGGCCCCGTTGTTCTATAGGGACCCATGTGCCAGCCTGCGTGGGTCCCACTTGATAGAAGAGAAGAGAAGGAGTGGAGAATCCAGTTGGGCGGTGGAGGAGAGTTCGTGGAGCTGGGCTGTTGACCGAGCAGCCCTTCCCTCAGGCCCGTCTCTAGCTGAGAGTCTACACTGTGGATGCCTCTGCTCACTGTGGCCTGGTGCTCATGCTGCACAGCTGCAGCACTAGCCATAGCTTAAAAATGAGCGTAGGGACACAGTCCACAGCTCACGGACCAGGCCACCTGCAAGGTCTGAATCATCCCTCTCACCCAAAACTGGGCCTTCGTGGTGCCCATCGAGGGGTAAAATTGACACAAGGGTCAGACCTGAGCTCCTAGTGCCCAGGGTATCACTGACCTGAAACACTGCTCAGACTTGAAGGATGCGTAAGCCAATTTGTCCCAGGGGAGAAGGGCAGGGCTCTCCTCATAGAAACATGTGTACCTACTCCACCAGCTTTTATGAGGCCCTGGAATGTTATTTGTTGGTGACCACCCAACCATCCCACCAGCAAATGGAGTGCTCTGAAGGGAGTGGTAGCTGACCTCTTAATGTGAAACAGCGAGACAAAGAGATGAGCTAAGAGGTAGGGTCTGTTTCCGCACATTTATCTCTGGTTATTAGACACTTTTAGAGGGAACATCTGTTTGTCCACTCTGGCTCCCATATTGCAGGCCCCTTTTGAGGACCAGCTTGGCCCCTTTTCTGACTGAATGGGGACTAAGTCATAAATTAGAGCCAGAAGAGGGACCTAGAATAAGAAGTCAGAGGGGGTTTTGTTCATCTCACCAAAAAAAGGGCATTTGGGCTCCTCAACTGACCAGCCTTCCAGTGAAAAGCAAAGAAAATGGAGGTAGCTGCCTATGCACCTGGTGGTGCCCCTTCCCAGTGGACGCACTTATTATAAGGTTCATTCTGGGGACGGTGCCACTAGTCTGGGCAGGACATGGGAATCAAACCACAACACACCACTTGATCGTGCTTTCACAGTTCCAGGCACCTGGGCTGGGCTCCATTATTTCATCTCTTTTTTGGTTTTAAACTTTGGATATTTGTTTTACAGGAGAAATATATGTGTTGATAGCAGGACTTGCCACATCATCTCACAGTATGTTCTTAGGAAATGTACCTGTGGGCTATTATCTTAGGATAATAGGCCAATTACTTGTACAAGAGGAAAAACTCTTTGTTTTCTCATTAAGTTTATCAAGGTACTTATAAGAATGTAAAATCAATACAATAATTGGTTAAAATTCTCCATTGTCCCTATTCCTTTGGGGATTGTTTCTCTAGCCCACACGTCCAATTTGATAGCCTGCTAGATATTTCTGCTTGGACACACCACTATAACTGGAAACTCACCATGTGATCCCATAGTGCCTTTCCAGCTGTGATAGCCTGAGTCCATGCCTTACACTAATAATCTCCCCCAACACATTCCTCCTCCATTGAAATATAGAATATAATAAATAATATAATTGTATATTATTATATATAATAACTAATATAATTATTATAATTATAATAATATAATAAAAAAAGTTATCAATGGATTATCATGCTAAATGAGTAAAAAATCTACCAATGTCTCTGAATTTATTGAATGCCGGATACATACCTGACTTAAAGAAGCCCTCTTGCCCTTGAGGAGTTTACAGTCTGTAAGGAGATGCGCTTGTGAAGAACTGACTGTTGTTTGTATAAGAGTTGAAGTGGAGATACTTCTTTGAAAGTGCAAACAAAGGAGCCATTAATTCAGAGGGGATGGTGGGCTGTTGGGAATCGCTTGACTACTGGCATAAACCTTCATCAGTGATTACAGCAAAGGGTAGGAGTGGTACTCCAGATACAGAGTTATGTGGTGAGCTGAGCAAACTTTGAGCAATGCAGTTTGGCTGGAACCTAGGGTGTACAGTGTAGAGTAGCAGGAATTCAGTGTGAAAGCTGAGTTTCGGGCTTTACTCATTCTTCTCGCTTGCACTTCATATCTCTCCCTCTAATTCTTGATCCTGTGACTTACCAAGGCAGCTCCATGTCTAGTAGCTTTTGCACCCATCCCTTCTGTTCTAAACAATCAGCCTCCTGGTTCTGTTGATTGTGCCTTCATGATACTTCTTGTATCCAATCCCTCCTCACCATTCCCAGCATCTATGACTTGGCTGAGGTGCTCAGCATGTTTTACTTGGACTCTGGCACAGCCTCAGATCCAGATTCATCCCACTACGATTCATCCTGCATGAATTGCCAGATCAGTTTTCCTAAATCACAACTCATATCACCCTTCTGCTCAAAAACTTTCTTTGGATGCCCTTCTCTAGCAAAGAGAGTTGTGGATGGATAGATGGATGGATGGATGGATAGATAAATAGGTGAACGAATGAACAAGTAGGTAAATGAGGGGTCAGTTCCAAGGGTGAGAGAAGGGGGAATATTAGGCTCAGATGGCAGGACTGAGCCTATCTTTCACTCCAGGATTCCAGCCCTCTTCAACACTGCCAAACCCGCCTTTCCAATCCTGTCTCCCCGACTTTTCCTGTGTTCTGGCCCCTAGATGATTCAGTGTGTTTCAAACACACCCACTTATCTTTCTTTGCTCATGTTTCTCTTCTTTTGGAATACCCTTTATCCCTTGTCACTTGTCAAAGTCTATGTATCTTCAAGATCCATTTCAACCTTCTTCATGATGAATTCTTGATTCTCATCCTCTCCTGTTACAAACCCTCACTTTGTTTACACCCAACATGAGACAACACTTTCCACTTTTGATACATAGATGGATAGACAGATATCCAGGAACTGCATCTTACTGACCTTTGTCTGCTCTATAGGGCCTTTTTGCTTAGCACACAGAAACATTTAATGAATGTTCATGGAACTGGATAGGTCTCCCTGCCTCCATTTTCTCCTTGCCATAAACTCATTTAAATAATTATATACTAATAACGGCCTTTGTTTCTATACAATACCAAAAATTATAAACCTCTTTCACATCTATTACTTTGACTGATTTTCATGAACAGCCCTCCAAGGAAGGCCGGATAGATATCCTCATTTTATAGATAAGAAAACTAAGGCTCACAGAGGGCAAATAAGTTCCCAAAGCTACAAGCAAGCAAGAAATGTAGCCACTAATTGAACCCAGAGAAGTATCCTGATATTCAGGAGAAGACCAAAGAAGAGAGCAAGCAAGGTCCGAGCCCTCCCAAGGATCCCTTCTTCTTCTAAACTGTATTGAACATGATGAAGATATTCTAAGCCAGCCAGGGGCACGTCACATGAAGGATAACAGTCAGGAAGGTGGGCAGGTGGCACTGTGTGATTGATTGTTTTGAATTTATGTTTATTTTTTCCTCCTTTCAGCCCCAGATACAGATACCATCACATGAGCACATGAAACCTTGGACTCCTCCTTCCCCTCCAAATTAACCCATAATTTCAGGCCTCCTTCCAATTTGAACACTCAGTAGATTCTTGCTGCTTGTAGCTCATCAGGGAAACTCTTGTAGAGCTAAGCCTAGAACCACTCACGTGGTGTCCTGCCATCTGAGCCTAATATTCCCCCTTCTCTCACCCTTGGAACTGACCCCTCATTTACCTACTTGTTCATTCGTTCACCTATTTATCTATCCATCCATCCATCCATCTATCCATCCATCCATCCATCCATCCATCCATCCATCCATCCATCCATCCATCCATCTATTGATCCACTATCCAAGAGACTTTCCTTGCATACCAGATCCATACACTACATTTATTCCATCTCCCTAGGACTCTTCCTGCCTCCTCTGTTCCAGACAGAAGAATCTTGCTAAGGTACAAATGGGCTAATGTGTTTCCTTTATGAGGTAATGCGCATTTTAACAGTGGGCTTCACCAAGACAATGTGAAGGCTTTATGAAAGAATGGTGGAGGTTGAAGGTGTTTTGGATAAAAAGGGTCTTTTCCAAACAGACCTCAGGCAGGATTTGGGAGGAGGGGGTAATCTCCAATTTCCTATACCCTGAAGGTCACATCCTTCCTTTGTTCGTCAATGCCATTGAAAGGAAAGTTATAGCTAACCTTCCCAATGATATTAGTGACAACCGTGATGCACAGGTTCTTTGCAGCCTTCCCTTCTGGAGCTCAGCTTGGATGCTCTGACTGGATGTTTCCCATGTTTAAAATCACAGTTTGAGGTGAGTGGATGCGGCGGAGGAAATACTTGGGTTTTCATTACACTTGGGATTGTTAGATATGAAATTTGGAAAAATAAGGAAATTCAAGAGTATAAATGTATGCCCAGTCCCGGAAATGTTAGGAATCCATGTCCCCATGCCTTCTCTCTGACCCTTACTCCCTTGCCTTGAATGGATCCCGACTGAGCTGCAGGAAGACTTCTGGAGTCCCTACTGCCATGAAGCCCTTGGAGCTAGGACTTGCTGGCCATCCCTTCTCCACTTCTAGCAGGCTGGGTGAAATAAAGGGCCTGTTGGTTTATCTCAGAGCCCAATAGAGAGACTTGTCTGGCAAGGTAGACTGGTTAGTGAGGAAGATTGTGTGGCACATGAAGACAAATGAGGCGCTCAGGATCAAATTATGCCTTTGTGAATGGTTTTTCCTTCCCACTTGGCAAATATAATCCCTCAGATTAGTTACCTTTTTTTAGGTGGCAAAATATTTCCCTCCTCAATTTCTCCTTTTCCCCCTTTACTTTATCACTCAAAATACAGTGTGTTCTTCTAGAGGTTTTGAAATGTCAGATGCTGGAATCGTGTTCAATTTGTAATCTTTCAATAGGAATGGGCCACATTGAGTGGTATGATATACAATAAAGAATTCGTTTATTTGTTCTCCCTCCCCCCAGTTTAGCAAAATAACTCAGACCCCGATTTTCCTTAACTTGCAAAAAAATGTTTCCCAGAGTTCAGAGACCTTCAGAAATCTGAAGCCAGCTTCAATGCAGGTCCAGTTCATAGGTGCTTCTGCAAGTAGGCAGTTGCCTGCTACAGAGCTGGCTTAGGGTATGGTTATATCAACACATACAGTTTGAATATTTTCCCTACTATGTAAAAGTTCAATTGGAGCAGAAGAATAAGTGAGAACTGCTTTAAAAAAATTAGGTGATAATAAATTCTCCTGGAGCAATCTTTATGTAAGGGCTCATGTCATTGACTGTGGCCGATTGCAGCTTTTTCAGTAACTCAGTGACATATTTTAGAAACATGTGGTATGTTTGAATGGACAGGTCAATCAATCTTTTGGTCTCAGCCATGAATTTTTCATAGTAATCAGAGAGTTGGTCTGAAAAATCCTGTAGCTTATATCTGAACTGCTGGTGGTAATCAGAAATGATTTCCTTCATTGTAGCAGCCCAGCTTTTAATTATTTCCTGAGCACTGGCAGAAAGCTCTGCAATCTTCTCTTTCCCTTTTCCATCTGCATCAGCAAGGATGCTCAGATATTCCTGGATGTCTTTCTGCATAAATTCCTCAACTTGACCTGGGAGTCGGGAAGCAAAGCCAGCAGCACTGACAGTGTATTTGGAATGGAAGTCCTTAAGAACATCTACTAGGTTCTTGATCAGCTTGATTATCTTTTCTTCAAGTTCATAATATCTCACTGTCCAGCCAACCATACTTGGATCAAAATATTTTTTGCGAAGAGCATTTACATACTGGTGGAATTCCTGTAACTCTTGAGAAGCTTCCTGAAGTTTATTTTGAACAAGTTCATTAAACTTACCAAAGTTAAGGTATAGGTTTTCTTTCAGGTATCCAAAAACATATGTAATATACTTGCTGAAGACTGTGTTGATTTCGTGTTGGGTATCATTAAGGAGATTAATAAATTTCTTCTCCTTTAAATGTTCAATTTCTCCTTCTATCTCTTGGCAAACATTTTGTAAAGATTTCTGAAGATCACTTAGCATCTCTGTAATCTTGAAAGACTGGAGATACTTCAATGCCTTTGGGACCCATTGTGATAAAGATTTCAATAGTTTCCCATACTCCAAGATTACATCTGTTAGTTTATGGCTCTTTGAATCAAAAGGAAATTTAATCTCTAGGTCCTTAATTAATTCAGATTTCTCCATCAGGTTTTGGAAATAGGAAAACAGTATTTCTAACCCATTATGAATTTTTGAATGTACCTGGGACAGTACCTTCCCTACTTCCCTCACGAGCATATCGCAGAGTTCATCTGTAGTGTATGTCTTGGCTCCTCCTGGGAGCTGAAATCTACTGAGCTTTAGGTAATCAATGAATGAGTCAATCAGACGCTTGAATATCACACAGTATTCACGAGTAACTCCTATTAATTTGTCAAATACCTTATTCTGGAGTCTCTGGAAATCGCCTTGGCCTTCCTGAGCCAATAGTTCCTGGTACAGACTCTGGGCCTTGTCCTTCCACTGCTGGTAGGTTCTATTGGTGTCTCTAGCCATCCTCTGGAGGTTCATCTCCACCTCATCAATCTGCCTCATGGCCCCTTCATAGGCCTGCTCAGCATTGTTCTCCAGACTTCTTCTCAGTTTTAAAGAAGCATCTCTCAGATTGAGTCCTGTGTGCTCCTGGTGGTACTTGTTGACATAGTCATAAAGGGCCCCCATGGCCTTGGGCACATTGTCTTTCAGAGAGTTTAGCAGTTCGGACACTGCCTCTTCTTCCCAGTTAACTTTGATCTCATAAAATTTCTGGTACCTCAACTCAGTTTTGAGTAAGTTGAGTTTTTTATCTGGAAAGGACTAAAACCAACAAAAAAAAGGATGAAAAGAACATGTTTTCAATTTGCCTGATTATATAATATACTACACTGAAACTTCATTAACAGTTAAAAATAAGATCAGAGGATCTTTCATATTCTGAAGGGGATTTATCTTTCAATGTCAGTCCATGTGTTTGTCTTATGGCTAAACAAGTCCACTGTTGTTAGTTCCTCTTCATCATGTGCCCCAGAAAGGATAAAAAACATTCATGGCATTTACACGGTAACACTTAACATTAAGACCTTCCTAGGACTGAAGATGGAAAAAGAAGGCAGAGGAGGAGGAGAAAGGAGAGAAAGAGACTAGAAAAGACCATTTCAGAGAAAGGAGAAGCAGCAAAAAAGGAAAATGTTCAGAGCAATCTAGCAGAGACCTAAAATACCAATACCATGAACCATTCATTCTCCAAGCCTGTGACAAACTTTAGTAATAGAACCTGATTATTTCTTCTCCTCTACTAAATCTAATGGCATCTTTAATTTGACCCTGGAAGAGCTGGTAAAGTACATGAGAGGAATTTGGCATATTACACCTAATAATTCTACTGTGGGGAAGAATTTTGAAGCCTCAAATACTCCAGAAGCCACTGTCCGATAATGTACTCAGCATATGGCAGAGTTTGCTCACGATTTAGGTGATGAAGGCATAACCCTCATCTTTCTAGATTTGCCCAAAAATAGTAAAATAATAGTGGTAATATGACATCATATGTGCATCTAATAAAATCAATACAAGACTCATTATAATACTTTCTGGAGAACAGTTCCTCAGAGAAAAAGTTCAACTTGCTGATTGCTTGTGTTTCACCTAGTTTGGGAAAGCCCTGAGAGAATATTGAATTAAATTTATCTGCCCAAATTCTCTACTTGCTTGTGGAGTGGGTAGCTCATTAGATGGGACTCACCTGAGGGCGGTAGTAGAAGTTCCACCTGAAGGTACCATCATCCTTTTCCAAGTGCATGGCCACAGTGCCTATGGCTCGAGAGGCTGCCGAGGAGGAGAGGCTATTCTGACTTGATTGGTAGCACAGATGGACATCAGTGAGTGTTGGGCTGGTGATGCTAAGGCGAACCTCTTCCTTCCAGTCCCTGAAAGCGGAAAGCAGGTGAGCCATCATGAAAGGGGTACAGAGATGGCAAAAATCACAATGATTTGAAAAGGGATGATGAAGTTTCAATAAAAGTTCCATACTGAAGTCCTTGACGTTTGCTGTCTTTATATTCTGCACTGAAGTCTCGGTGTGCAAATGTTCCATTAGTTTCACAGACTAACATGCCATCTTCAATTTTGTGTGTTCTCACAACTGCATAGGAGAGATTTTACATTTCATTAGATTAATAACTGTAGGACATAGACATTTTCATTGTGAAAATCAGGAGAATTATATCTTATCTAAATGCCTTAGCTATATGTTTGAAACCTGCAGTCTACATTTTTTAAAATAAATAGTTAGAGGGAGACATTATTCGTCCTAAAATCATTACAGAAAAATCTATTTTCTTGGAACCTATTCCTCTTAAACGTCAGTAGGTTTTTCTACAGGGTAGTTCTACATGTGGGGTATATATGTATCTCCTTTCCTCTTCTTTTAAATTTTGCTATAGAGAGTAATTGTAGTTCTAGTCATTTCTAAATACATAATTATTTATTCACAACTCTCACTGAAAACATATAGCACCTAGCAGAGGAGTCAGAACATTTCCTTACCATCTAGGTCATATTCCAGAAACTGTATGGTTGAGCTGCACGTGGAATTCAGGAATGTTTCAATTCGATCTTCTTTGTTTTTCAAACCAGCACTCCAAGTGGCATTATACAGGGGAGAGGCCACCCCAAAATGTGCAGTCAGTGCTCCAAAGGAAGGAATGGAAATTTCAGCAGGTACAGAGAACTTAATGGAAGGAATCTCAATAATCTGCTCAGGCATAGTGATTGTCGGCAACTCAAAGTCTGCAATCTTGCTGGCCACTTCATTTAGATCCAAAACTGTACTGCCAACTGAAATATTTTTTGGAAGGGTGTACTGGGACACGGTTAACTGAGATTCAGGCACAGTTATCTCAAAAAAGGGAACTGGGGCATCTTTTGGTCCAGAATATTTTGTTAACACATCAACTTTGGGGAATTGCACTTTGGGTAGTGTTGGTATGTTGAGTGCAAATGGTGAAGTACTTAGCTTCTTGTAGATTTTTATTTCACTGAAGTCAAGCGTGTAGGATGGAACCTGGAGATCTGTAAATGGGACTTGGAACGTAGGTGTGACAAAAACTGAATTTAGATTATTTAGTTTCAGGCCAGGAATAATGAATTTATCAACCAATTCTTGCACAGGGACAGAGAAAGAATAGTTATTGGGGTTTTTGGAGTACACAAGAGCAGTTGAGGCACGAATATACTGTTTCCTATCAGTGCTGGTGGTTACATCCAGCTTCAGGAGGTCCCATAAGCTCTTTTCATAAACTGGTAAGACAATATCTTTGAAGAACCCTAGGTACCCTTCTAGGGAACCTGTGATATCAAGGCGTGCCTCTTCTTGGTCATTGGAAAGCTGTACATTGTTCTGGAGAGACCCAGAATGAACCTGGACCTCACTTTTCCACCTCACCTTCTGGTGCTCGGTGTTAGCATTGAGGGACACCTCGTGGCCAAGGTAATTGATATCAAGGAGGGAACTGGGCTGACTTGCATTGACCTGAACAAGGGCTGACATTTTCCATGGGGAGAGTTCCAGGGTGGCTTTGTTTGTATGTGCTCCAGATGTTAAAAAGAGGCCCTCTAGCTGTAAGCGGTTTTTTGTATTGTGTTCCCAGATGGCATATATGCGTTGCACAGTGGCTTCTCCAGCAAAATTTTCTTCTACTTCAAGGCTCCAGATATCATCAACTTTGGAAGCCCCTTGCAGCTTCACTGAAGACCGAGTACTCTTGGAATTCAAATAAGTGCTGGCCTCACTGGCAATAGTTCCTGAATATTCCCGTGAAAGGACCAAACCCTTGATATCTCCTTTGGTGGATGACTCAATGGAAAAGTAAGAGGTGAGGCTTTCTAATCTAAACTTGTGGTCAACTGCTCCTGTAGCAGTAGAGGACAGCTTGGGGGAATTGAAATCATACTGTAATTCAATGGATGAAGACACAGTAGGTTTTGATTTGGTATTTCCATTAAGTTCTTGCTTGAAATTCATTCTCAAAATTGGAATTTGGACTTTTGCAGTTGTCATCACTGATGCTTCCATGTTTTTCTTGGTTATGCTAATGGTACTGTCATGATTGCCTTCCACGAATTTGTTACTCAGAGACAAAGCTGTGGCCAACTTCAATCCTCTTTTCCTTGTCAATCTTGAGGTGCCCTCAAATTTGTACTGCAGTGCATCAATGACAGAAGAAGAAGAAGTAAGGAAATGAGCAACAATATCTGATTGGTTATAAAGTCCAGCATTGGTATTTAGTGTGATCACACTTGATTTAAAGGAAAAATCATAGGTAATATTGCCCATGGCTGGAATTAAAATATTGTTTGGGGTACTCAATACCTTGAAATCTGGAAGAGAAAGCTTGAGAAGATTCCCAGGGACATGAAGGCCTGGCAGCTCTAGCAATGGCAGGACTAACTTATACGAGGGTACATAGAAGCCAGAACCCGGGATGGTGAAGTTGGGGGTGCTGATCTCTTGTGGAATCTCATAGCTGAATGTTGACATCTCCACTGTAAATGGAGACACTTCAATGTTGACGACTGGAATAGTGTATCCAGGAATTTGAAAAGACCTGGCTTGCTTGTTGAGGGATTTTTCAACTTTGTCCTTATCAAACTTAATTTTTGCTTGATCATAGGATTTGGTAAAAACATCTAATGCCTTGTCTCGGACTTTCTCAAAATGCCTGTTGAAGGAATTGATGTTCTGATTGATAAACACACAAAACACATCCAAAGGGTGTGGGACGGAATACTTGTCTTTGTTTTTCTTATACTGAGCCTTTACACTTAAATCAAATGACTGCTTTGTTGTTTTCAAGAATTTTTTCAAGCCTGTTTTTTCCCATAAGGAGAAATCTTTCACCTGGGGAGTTGTGAGTGTTGTGTAAGGTAGAGTCATCTCAGGAATTGTTAAAGGACTGCTTAAGAAATCCAGGTTGGCTTCTCCATTTATTCCTATGTGGGCCTCGATGCTCTTCTCATTGTTTCCAGCAGAGAAATTTTGATGGTACTTATACTGATTGAATCTGGCACTTGCTTGCCAACTTGCTTGCTGGGCATGAGGACTCAGGAACAGTGCATAATTATTCAGGAAGTCTATCTTCCCTGTCAATATCAATGGAAAACTAACTTTCAAATTCCCTTCATTGTTTGTGGTTGCAGTAATCTCAAATGGCTGTGCTGAAAAGAAAAGAGAATTTTTCAAAGTTCCAATAACTTTTCCATTTAAATGAGCATCATGGTGGCCACTTAGCTCTGCCTTCCTTTCTTCCAGCAGTGCTACGCCTTTAGCAGAGAGAACACTGCGGCCCACGTGCTGGGATTCAACTTGTGACTGGATTTCAAATTTAGAAAAGTTGAAGAAGCCAGAGTCATAAACCAAATTTTGGTTTACTCTTAGGTGTTTGCTATTGATCTTATTAGACAATCTAAAGGAAGTGATGGGTCCTTCCACAGTGAAGCTGATTTGTGATTCATGAGTTCCCTCATCTGAGGATTGGGGGCAGGCCCATTTCCATGACCCTATTCCAGAAGAAGTCCATGCTATGTGTCTAGCTTCCAACAGTGTCTTGATTTCGTTGCGCAGATCAGCCTGACTGGAGAAGTCCAGTTCGGGGACGTTCAATTTGTGGAAGTACTTTGTGTTGCTGTCCAGCGTAAGCTGATTGTTTACCTTGACGAGCACATCATTACTAAGCTCCAGTGTATTTTTTTCTGTGTGTAAACTTGCCACTGTCTTTGATTTTCCCTCAATCTCATTTCCAATAAATTGCACTTCACCCTCATGCTCTGTTTTCAGGTACTTGCTGGAAAACCTCATGGATTCCTTCAGAACAAGTGGATTAATCTTAGGGCCTAAAAGTTGTGCCTTTGCTTGAAAATCAAAATTAAGAACTTCTAATTTGGACTCTCCTTTGGCAGTGATGGAAGCCGCCATCTCTGCCTCGTTCCCTGAAGAGGTTACATTCTGAATGTCAGCGTTTGTGTCTAATGTGAAAAGAGGAGACTGGATTTTCAAAGTGCTAGACAGCTTGCCAAAAGTAGGTACTTCAATTGCGTGTGAGATGTGAGGAAGCTGGAATTCTGGTATATGAAGGTCAGAAACTTGAACATGGTTAAGGTCGAGAGTCGGGATTACGAATTCTGGAACTGTGATTTCTGGTAAATGGAAGTCTGGCAGAGTGATTCCGGCAAGAATGGTGTCCACTCCCTTCAGATCCCTCAGGTACTCTTCCGGAAATGGCCATTGCAGCTCACTGTTCAGCATTTGGTCAATGGTTCTGATGATCTTTGCTTTTATTTCTACCAAGTCAATTGTAAAGGAAGGAACGTGGAAGGTGTAGAGGACGGTGAATTCTGGTGTGGAAAACCTGGATGGGATTTTTATATCTTTCAACTTTTTGAAGTTTATCTGAACTGATGGCATCTTCAAATCTGTCAGGGGGACTATGAAGTCAGGAGTCTGAAATGTAGCTTCCTGAAGAGCACGGAGACTGACTTCAAAGGCAGGCATGGTCCCGAATGGGGTCCGGATTCCAGGAACAGTGAACCCTCGTTGTACAAATGTTTTCAGGTTTTTAGCACAGTCTTGGATAGAATACTGTTGTGCAAAGTCAGTAAGGTTCTTAGCAGCAAGACTCCACCAATCAGAAATGTAAGTGACAAGTGTGTTGTAAACCTGGCCTACCAGGGACAGGTATCGCTGAACTTCCTGCTGAACGTCCATCTGATAAATTTGGTCTCGTATATCTTCTAGGGTCTCTTTGAATTTGGTTTTCATGTCAACTAAAGATGTTGAACTTAAGGCCTCCCGCAAACAATCGAGGAATATGGTTATTTTGGTGTTCTTTACGTTTTCCAGTTGAACTGAGGCCACAGCCTGGATGTCCTCTATAAATAGTTTCAGTGCTTTAGCTTTCTTTGGAAGTTCCAGAGCCTCGATTTCACCATTGATTCTCTGAGTCACCTCACGGATTTTATCATTGGTTTCATTGACAAACTGGTGGTAATCAAATGACCTTAATTTCTTTAACAACATGTCAAGGCATCTGTTTACTTCTTCAGTGGATTTTTTAAAAGACAGTGCATTAAGCTGTTTGACAGCATCATCAATAAACCCAGCCAATTTCTCAAAGTGATCTTTTATCTCAACTTGCTGTAGGATGTTGCTTAGCTTCTGAACAGTCTCCTTCAACTTATATTTGTGGGCCAACTGTACTGATTTATCCATTAAAACCTGGATGTCTTGGTCTATTTCATACATCTTAATTAACTTATGGACCATGGCTCTAAAAGCATTGATTTTCTCAGTTACTTCAAAATCTTCAATAAGAGTTATAATACAGTATTTGACGTACTTGATAATTTCCTTTATTCTTTGAAATGGAATTGTAGTTCTCAATTGATCTAAAAGCACTCTGACATCAATAGCGTCAACCCGTTGTTTTAACTTTTCAGCAACGTGCTGGATGTCTGTATTCTGAATCTGTGTCATGAGCTGTTGCAATTTTTCCTGTATCTGGATTCTGATTTGATACTTAGTATCCACATTTTGAATCCAAGATGCAACACTACTTCCAATTTTGTTAAAATCAATCTTTTCAATAAACAAATATAGATTATGGATTGTTTTTGCTAAATTTACACGGATATGATAATATTCATCAAGAATTTTCAATTTTTCAATGATTTGATCAATAATCGTAGCAATAGCTGCTTTAAAATCATGTAAATCATAATTATCTTTAATATACTGATCAAATTGTATCACATATGTTTGTAGTTGAGATAGTTTTTCATCAAGGTTGATTTTGGCATTGTCCAATGCAATTTGTATATCATTTTCTGTAATTCTATAATTTTTTGTGAAAGCAGTTAGTTTCTCCTTGGCACTCAAAACTTGTCTCTCCCAGTTGGATGCATTTAGATAATCACTAACTTGCTGTGGGAGTCTGTCCAAGGCTGCTCTGTATTTCCTCACGAATTGATCAATATTGATGCGTTTCAATTCTCTCTGTATGGTTTCCAGTGAAGTTATAATTACTATTCGACTCGTCTCAAAATATTCTGGCAGGATTTTAGAGAATGGAAGGTTGATGGTGTGAACATCTTGGTTCTTATCATATTTTATAGAAGCAACAATAGTAAATTCTTGGGGCTGGTCAACAGCATCCCTCATCTCTAGAGCATCAATTAAATTGACGGGCTGGCTGAGTGAAAATGGCACTGTAATAGGTAAGTCTAGCATGGTGAGGTCAGCCAGGGCTCGGCCATTAAGCTCCACACCGACTTTGTCTTTAGTGTTGTAAGCATCGAAGTCCTGGCTGTATTCATTTTTGTTCAACTGGGTCTTGAGTTTCCACGTGCCTGTCTGCTCAGCCGGAGTGAGCAGGGCACTGACTTTGTGGTCAAGAGCAGTACTGATGCTAGTCTTGGACACGAGATTGTGAGTCATAGATCCTTTGTAATCATGAGAGAAAGTAAAGGCCAGAGGTTCTGCTTTCAACAGGAATTTGCTATACAACTGCCCAGCGTGTTCTCCCCAGAGAACCAGTTTCCCATTGCCATTTGTATGCGCATCGATGGTCATTGTAAATGGGGCCATTACAGAGTGGAAAACGTTGCTGAAATGCAGTGAGTCCGAATTGTAGTTTGTCCTGATGTCAATGGCTGAAGCTAGCCCAGCGATGTTTGTGCTGAGCCGGTGGCTAAACTCTGTATCCTGCACCTTAGCTACCGTGTCTGCTTTATAGCTTGCTGATAAGTCAGCATAAGAAATGGTGTAGATGTGTTTCATTTCATTATTTTGGTAGGCTCCTTTTATGTTCCCACCCACATTCAGCTTCAGGGGTTCGAGCCGTAATTTCCCATTGTTGGTCAGATCCAGAGCATTGAATTTCAAGTTATTGTTTAAAGTAGTTACAAGAGAATAGGGCTGTAGCTGTAAATTAAAATTTTGCTTATAAAACTTGTCAGAGTCATAAATATTGTCAAGTTTTGAAGAGAAGTCCAGTGATAACCCTGCGATGTTCAGATGGTTTGTGTAGTCAAGTTTCATTTCAGCGTATGAACCCATCATTTCATTTGAAAGCTTAAGTCCCTCCTGGTTGATTTTGAAGTTGAAAACGTTTTTGCTGTCGACACCCAGAATCATGGCCTGATAAGTACCACCCAATGATACCTCTGTGAGGGCAGCTTTTCCATCTAGACTGAATTTTGCACTGTGTTCCCTAAAGCGGCCGTTCGTTGTTAATTTCATAGATGCCCCAGAGAGGCCAAGTGCCGCATTCAGCTCATTCTCCAGCACCAGGGGACTATACTTCAAGTTGGTTGTTGCACTGGTAGACATTCCATCTTGGGCAATCCTTAGTGTCGCCTTGTGAGCACCACTATTAATTTTGTCAGTGCCCAAGATGTCAACATTTAATTCAAGTCCTTGGGAGTTTAGTGACCCAGAAAGCAGGGTGAAGAACCTCAATGACTTGTAATCAGCCTGATACTCAGAACGTAGCAGTGCATTTTGCTTAGAGAAGGTCAGATCCATCTTGTTAGAAGTGGCAAAGTTCTCATACTTCCCATTGGTGTCAGATTTCAGAGTCAGCTCATAGTTCTCGTATTTCAGGGAAGCAGTATTTTTAATGATGCCTTGGAGATCTGAGGTGGAGGTGAGGGAGAAGGTTCCATCTTCATATCTTCCTGTTATCTGGTTGGTGCCCTGGACGTATGAGGAGTTAAACCTCAGGTTGGACTCTCCGTTTAGCCGGCCAGTGGTAGGATCCCTCTGATAAGAGAGGCCATAGGCGCCTTTAGCATAGAACGAAGAGACTCTGAACTGCCCATCAATCTTGACTTCCTTGACATACAAATGCTGTCTTTTTCTGGAGTCCAAATGTACCGAAGCAGATATCTGTGGTCCCCAGGAACTAGATGCATCGAATATTAGAAAACCTTTTGAAGTTGGATTGTTTCTGATTTTTTCTACGTGACTAAATTTGATATTTGAATCCAGAAATTTGTGGTGTAAAGACCCAACACATGATAGCGTGAACGTGTTCCTGCGGTCATACGTTGTTTCTCCAGATCCTAACATAAAAATCAAAACACATTGGTTAAATTAAGTAATAAATTTTCAGAACAATTTCTATGTTGAAAGTCTTTTAATAACAAAGTCCCCTTGATCTAGGTCAGTTGTGTAACAGTCTCCTCCATCTATAAGGTGAGCATAAACTCTGATAGCAAAAGGCATTCCTCCAGGAAGCCTTCCCTGACCACCACAGACCTTGTTGGGCTCCCTTATCAAGTGCTTCCACTGTACCTTATACTTATACACTCTACCTTATCATAGGACCTCTCACATTGAATTATAACTGCTAGTTTATTTGTCTGCTTTCTCTGTTACTGCCTAGCAGAATACCTGATACATATTATATATTTAATAAATATTTTTATTGGTTTAAAGAAAGAACGAATTAATGAATAAGTTTCCAAGTAGCAAGGAAAGTATCTGTAAGAAAGCTCAAGTTTTTTCTATCCTAGAGAAGGCTATCCCATCAGAGCCTGCAGTGAATCAGCCCTGTGCACCCTCTACCAGAGCATGGCTCACCTTGCACACTGTAGGAGAGCAGGTTGACCACAGAGTCAGCCTTCATGTGGTACCGAGCCTGAAGGCTCAAGTGGTCTGTGCTGGTGTTGCCGCCAGTGTAGGAGGCGGACCAGTTGTACAAGTTGCTGTAGATATTCGTGGACAGGTCTAGAACACCCAAGAGAGGCACCTGTAGTTGATACAACTTGGGAATGGTAAAGGAGGGGACTTGGAACTTTTGAGCTGGCAGGTATAATCCCAGAGGCTTGAAGGTGAGGTCTGGTGTCTGAATTGTCTCTAACATCTTTAGATCTTTGGAGGATTTGCCACCAAAAGGCAAAGGAATCTCAATTTTCACACTGTTCTTGTTGAAGGTGTATTTGACCCGGCCATCGCTGAAATGAACAACAAAGACAATATCCCCAGGGTCAGCATCAAGAACTCAAAGTTCTCTGCCATCTGACTCTCCAAGCAATGGTGCATGTGTCCCATTCCCAAACCTGTACAGCACTTTTCCTCATGCTATTCCCTATGCCTGGAGTCCCTTTACTTGAACCTCTACCTATCAAACAGTCAAGTCCATTCAAAACTCTTCCAGGAGCCACTTCCTTATTGCTACCATCCCATCTAAGTCATAGTTCATTTCTCTAGTTCTTATAGTGACACAGTCCCTTAACACCTATCTCAAAGAGCATGTCATGATTCTACTTATATAATTAGTGCTTATTTGTTCATTTGTCAGTGTCTACATGGTGTCTTCCGGGAAGGAAGGATTACACCTTATCCAGTTTTTATCTTCTTGCTGCACCTAGTCTAGTATCTGAAACATAGGGGACATGTGATAGGTGTTTGCTAAACTGAATTGAGGCAACTTGATATGCAGAAAGAACACAGGTGTGGGAGTCAGTAATCTTGGGTCACAGTTTTACTTCCACTGATTGGTGACACTATGTTAGTGAATTCGCCTCTCTGAGTCTCAGCGATATTATCTGTGTAGTGAGGATAATAGTGCCCTTTCTGCTGACCTCATGGAGCTAGCCTTGGATATCAAACGAGAAAAAATACCTAAAAGGACTTTGCAATCTTTACAATACTAGGCACATACAATGGACTATTACGATAACTTATCAGAATAAAGTAGGATGGCAGAGTTTAAATGTAAGAAAATATAAACTGTGCATTGCATTACTCCAATAGGGACTGTCCTATTGGACAGTCCAGGATCCTGTCCAGGATCCTGATGTTCAGTAGCAGGATGCTTGATAAGGCCCCGTCCAATTCTAAGGTCCCATGGTACCATCTTTTCAGCACAGCACAGGCAAGACTACTGGTCAGAAGCATTAGTAGTGAAGGCAGAGGTTCCTGGGTCCTCTGAAGCTGACACTTTTTCCCTTATCTTCAGTAGGTTTTGTCCATATGAGTGCTTTGGCGGACTTCAGCCCTTTCACATTTATTTGGTCTAATAAACTTTGCTGCTCAGCCATAGACTATGGAAAGGCCCACGTGACACAGGCCCCTTGTTTTCCTAACCCTGAAGATAATATAGAGAACAGTCAATCTAGAAAGACTATGGTCTTTTCAGCTCATGCTCTGACTTTTTTATTTTCATGAAATAAAGCAAAGTATTACATGTATTTCTGTAAATATGGAAGTGGACCAAGCAGTTTGGAATCTGAATTTCCCACAAGGATGACACTGTATTGCTAAAGTGAAATATTCTCTCAGAATGCTGCCTTTATTCAATGCCCAATGGCTGTTCTGACCCTGTAGTGCTCAAGAGCAAGCCTGTAGTCAACAATTCGACCAGCCACTCTTGAATTCTTCACTGTCAAACAGGTATAAGTATATCCTGATCCTGAACAAAAGAGGAGTTCACTTACAGTGGGAGAACATTGAATGGATTTCAAATTCAGGTTGTAGTGAATAAAACATCTTAGGGTGAAAGTACCAGAATCCTCCAATCATTTTCTTAGTTTTTTTCTGACTGGGTTGGTGTTCACCTTCTGACCTCATGTTTAATAATACAAAAATGCAACAGTGTTTATGTTCCAGTTAATAATCTTAAAATGCTTAAATTATTTCTCTTAAAAATGTAAATAAAAAAAAAGTCTAAATCATGTGAAGTAAAATCTTCCATTTACTTTGCATGGTTCAAGAAATTTTTCTCGTTTCTGTTTTACCTTTTCAAGAAGAGATTTTCTGGGATGTTGAAGTCTGGTAATTTCATTTTCTGGAGGTACGATTCTTTTAGTCCATCGAGGTGATCTTGCAAATTCTGGGCATAAGGTAGACTCCTGGATGCCTCCTGAAGCCATGTGTTTGTTGCCTACAAAATAATAGAATTTTTCAGAGTGATGGGCATGGATGAGCCTCAAAGTACAATTAATATTAGGTGATAATCTATATTTGACAGTTCAATCATTAAGCAGGATGATGCACTGAAAATTAAAAACAAATTACAGAAAATTATGAATTTTGGTCGTCAGTTTTTAATCTCCTCCTGTATTTTATAAAAGAAATACATAACATAGTCAAACTCTGAGCCAGCGTCTGAAATCTTCCTGTGATACCTTAGGCACAGCAAACTCTTCCACTCAGTAGTATTCCTTTGGTATTTATCACATACAGCCTTGTGTAACTGGGTAACTATACACACATGAATGTTTCTCTTCTCCCCAGGAATTCCCTGGGGGTAGGAAACATGCCTTATCCATCTTTGGATACCCTCCTTCACCTAACTCAGGGTTAAGTATGTAATTAGCACTTATAACCATGTATTTATTGACTGACTGATTTGTACTTACAACTATTAATTTGGAACCCATGTGCCGGACAGTCACGTTTGTTTGAGGAACTCTGTAATCCAAGAGACTACTGGCATACATATGCAAGCTTTCAGCGTAATCAGAGAGATCCATGGGGAAATTGGAAGTCGCTTTTTTGGTGTCCACATTGGTGCCTGTGTTCCATTCAAATTCCATCTTCTCTTCATCTGAAAAGGCACATGTGAAATAGTTGCCAACGGTAGGAGGTCAGCCCGTAACCAATGGCTCTCAACACTGCGCTCGAGTACACAGTGCTCATTGCTCTTAGAAGTGCTCACATGGGGAAGAGGTACATACCATAGCGCCATGCCACCTTCTTGGAAATTGTTGAGCCATAAGCTGTAGCAGATGAGTCCATTTGGAGGAGGAGTTTTGTGGGAGACCACTGGGTGAAGATCTCACTTCTGGCTTCTGCTTGCAAGCGGGGTATGGAAATAACACCTTTGATTTTGCCTTCTTCCCTTCTGTCACAACTATTGAAGAGAAAAGCAGTTGACAGCAATGACTTTGTCCATTCCAAGGAGATATGCAGGATTAAACAGTTAGAAGTTCCATTTGTGGGATAAAAATGAGATGTGTGAATGGCTCAGAGAAATGACCGTAGAATACACTCATTAACTTCTAAAGCCAACATCAGCGCAAATTCAGGACTTCCCAGGGAGGCAAGGGGGAAAGAGAAGGTTTTTGAAAACTGTTTGAATCTTGCTTTACCATTTAATTGCTCTATAGCCTTGGCCAAATTATTTAACCCCTCTGAGCTACCATCTCCTTATCTATAAAACAAGGAAACTTACAACCACTTTGCAGTTTGTTATGAGGACGGAGGTCATTCCTTGAAAGCACCCAGCCCAGTGACTGATGAACAGTAAGTGCCCAGTGAACGGCAGGAAGATCCAACTGGACATGTGCAGAGGGTCAGAATGTTGAGGGCTCTATCTGCCCCTTGGACTGCAGGCCAGGGATGCCCCTGGTTTGGTCAGCGTTAAAGCTGAAGAGGAAGAAGGGAGAGAGACGCAAGGGACTGCAGCTCAGGTCACATCACCCTGAGCCTCCCTTACCTTACGTGGCCAGTGAGCGTGACCTCAGTGATTTTCTTGTTCTGAATGTCCAGGGTGAGCTTGTAAGACTTTCTTTCCTCAGCAGATTCATCAGTAACTTTGAGGATTGTCCCAAGGTCAACGTCAAAATCGGGAATTTGGATTTCGCTGGACAAAGTCATTCTCTGCCGGTTGTACCTGAACATCAAAGCGGCCTCAGTCTGCTTTACACCTGCGAGAGTATACAAGAGAATCAAGACGTGTATTCAGAAGCTAAGTTTAGGAAAGAAGGAGAGGAAAAGGCAGAGAATCCCCAGGTACTCAATGTGCTTCAATGAGGGCACAGTTCAGGATTTTACCTTAAATTTTTAACTTAGTGGTGCTTATACATTTGCTCAATCTGCAAATATTTATTGATTGCCTATCACATGCTCGGCACTGCTCTTGGCACTGGAGAGGCCCTGCCTCCATGGAGCTTACATTCTAGTGGGGGGTGTACAGACAATAAACAAGTAAATTATTTATGTCAGATGGTAATAAATGTTATTATAAAAGTAAAACTGGATAAGATGATAAAGGACAGACAGGAATAGAGGAGGTGCTATTTCATGTGTGGCGGTCAGAGAAGTTCTCTCTGATAAGTGGGTATGTGGGGAGAGACCTGAATGAAGAGAGGGGCTGAGCCATGCTGAGTTCTAGGGGGAGAGCATTCCAGGCACAGGGAATTGGGAATGCAAAGGCCCTGATGTGGGAAGCACGGTGTGTTCAGGGAACAGGAAGGGGTCGAGGTCCTTTTGTGTCAGGCAGACATGATATCTCTAGACGACTGTCCACCTACGACGTCCTTCTTGGTTCCTTGCCGCCCCTGCCCTCGCTTCCTCTCTCCCTGACTCCTCCTTTCTTTGTCATAAGATTCCCAGGTTTCCTTCAATTCACAGGCTTACCCATTTTAGATCTTTTATGAAATTGTTACATGACACTTTTTTCAGCATGCATCCCCCCCTTTTTCCTGTGGGTTTTGTTTTTCTAGTTTAATTTTGTGACATACTAACCCTACATAAAAAAGTCTTCCAAAGGGAACATCTAAGTCTGCCCCAGCCCCTAAAACCTGCTCCTCCAGGAGTCTCTTCTGTCTCAGTAAATGGTAACTCCAGTCTGCAGTTGCTCAGGCCAAAAATCTTAGAGTCACCCTGATTCCCTTTTTTCTCTTACATTTAACACCCACTGTATCAGCGAATTGTGTCAGCCTAATCTTCAAAATACGGCCAGAATCCGACCACTTCTCAGATCTCCTCTGCCAATAGTCTAAACCAAAGCACTACCATCTCTGGCCTGGATTACTGCAATAGCCTATATACCAGTTTCTCTGCTCTTGCCCCCTCAGTCTTTCCTCAACATAAACATAAGTGAAATCATAAAAACTCTCCAGTGCCTTTTTATTTCACTCATAGTAAAAGCCAGCGTCCTTACCACGGCCTACAAGACCATCCTTCCACCACCTCCCCTTATCTCTCTGACCTCATCTTCTACCATTTTCCTCCCTGATCTCTCTGCTTTAGCCACACTGGCTTCCTTCCTTTCTATCAAACATGGCAGCCATGTGCTTACCTCAGGGCCTTTGCACCTGCTGGCCCCTCAGCCTTTAACACTCTTGCCATACGGCCTATCATCTTACCTCCTTCAGGTTTCTTTTTGATGTTGCATTTACCAGTGAGACTTTCCCTTATGATTCCAAATGGTACTGCCTTCCCCCATCCTTCCTCTTCCCCACTACTCCCAACATTCCCTAGACCCTTTCGTGCTCCATTTTTCTCCCAGCACCAACTTGAATATTTACTTGTTTAGTTGTTCACTGTAAACTCCATGAGGGCAGAGACTTTATCTCCACTGTTTATGGTTCTAGCCTCAGCTCTTAGTACAGGCCTGACACTTAACAGGCATACAGTAAATATATGTTAAACACATCAGATTAAATATGTTCTCCTTGTGAGTTCTGGACCTGAGACTGAGGGCAGAGATGGAGCCCTTTTCTGGATACTTGCCTTCTGCTTGAGTTACAAACTTCAGCGTGTCCACGAAGGCTTCGCCCTCTCTCTGGAGTTCATAGGTTGCGCTGGCAGAATACTGCTCTACTTCTCCTGTCGGCCTCAGTTCCAGTTCGAAACTAAAGATGTTCAATGCATACAGTGTGTAATGTTAGAGCTTTCAATGATGACGATAACGTCCCCAAAACAACTCAGCCTCAGTTGCAACAAAAATATGGTCCTTATTTTAACATTGTCTCTTGTCCTTAACTAACGATGATCTTTATGATCACTTTTAGTCCCTCCAGGAGCCCAAGGCAAGGGGAGTCCCAGGATTCCCAGGACTTTTGACAAGCAGAGGAGTTGGCTGGTTGTGTCAGCATTGCTATGAACAGGTGGTGGAAGTGAGGGAGTTGAAGACAAGGAGCCCTTAAACATGGCAGAGGCTTTGAGCTCCAGGAAAGGTCATCCCAGTGTGTCTGGAGGCTCAGAAATAAGAACACTGAACTAGGAGCAAATCGGAATCTGTGCTGTGATTCCTCATCCGACACATAAGGGAGAAAGAGGGGGCACCATCTACAAAGAAAAGCTTTGAAAGGAGTGATTCTCAACGCCAATGGGTACAGTGCCCTTGAAGGAGTACCACAGAATCACTTGGTTGTTTCTATTTTGAACTAAGACCTCCCATAGGGGTGATGACTCCTCACCTTCCAACCCTGTCCCTCCCCTCCCCACCTGTGGAGAAACTCAGTCCCAGACTCAAAGTTTAGGCAGGAATGTGGGCACCCCTTAGGCGTGTTGGGCAGAGGACCACTGTTTTAAATAATCAAAGGATGGTGCAAACCCCTAAGACTGGTGACATGGGCCTACAAAACACAGCATTTTTTCCTTTGCCCCACGAGGTGGCCATAATGTAGAAGGGGAGCAGATGCTGGGGAGGGGAGGGTGGACGCTGAGCATCGCTGACCTGGTGTCCCCAGTCAGCGGATAGTAGGAGGCAGAGTCTGTGGAACTGGCGTTGGAGTAAGCGCCCGTAGTGCAGTAGTTCAGGCCAGTAAAGAAAGGCTTGCAAGTTGACCAGGACTGTCTGTTCCAAATCAGAGGTGGAATCACTTCCATTTTGGTGGTAGAGACCAAATGCAATGTGTTACTGGTGAAGAAAGAAAAAACCTGAGTCATCTTCAAGCCATGAATCAAAATGAACACCACTGATTCTCACAGTGCAAATGCCTCCTTATCCTGCTCTCTATCTTCCCTCTGTCCATACCCACGTCAAATTATTTGATTTACTCAGAAATTAATAAGAAGTACATCAATAAGACTAACAATCACAGTGACTCATGTTTCAGACATTGCACTAAGTTCTTTACATTTGTTATCTGTAATCCTCACAACAGTAGGCACCAGGAATCCCATTTTACAGAGGAAGCAGAGGCTCAGAGATGTTAAGTAACTGATCACTGGGACCTGGACCTAGGTATGCTCCTTCCTTCCTATGTTGCAAGGTAAGAGATGCCCTATCTCTTCTTTTATCTAAAATCTCTTACTCTCTACTGGCTTCTTTCCACCAGCACTAAACATGCTCAAGTCTCTTCTCCCATTGTGTGCACAAACACACACACCTTTCTTTCCCTCCTAGCCCTCTCTTGTCTCCCTCACAATCAAGAAATTCGTCTGCCTTTGCAATTTCTACTTCTTTCAACATGCTTCTCACTGAACTGCAATCTGAGCGCCACCCTCCATCGTGCTTCTGGAATTACTTTCATCAGCATCTCCAATCACCTTCTTGCTCCTAAATCCAATGGACATTTTTAGGCTTTGTCTTCCTTGAGTGCTCAGAAGCATTCCGTATACTTGCTCACTTATGGCCAGATTAAGATTTTAGAGTCTCTAACCTCTGAAAAATTATGGTATCATCCTCCCAAGTATGTATTAACAAATTAGTAAGTGCAAGAAAGTTCAACAATGTCCTGATTCATTCTAAGGATTCTTTCTTTGACATATCATGTTCTTTTACTCATTTTGGGGGTGCCCTGAAACCAAGATTTGCTGGTGGGCTGGAACCCTAAGCCTCACCTATGGGGTAATCCACCCCTGTGGCTGCTCCTGGGCTTCTGTGACCCTTTATGGCCTTGGTTCTCCTTCTGCCCCTCTGGCCACTCCTTCTCACTCTTTGCCACTTATTCCTCTCCCCCTCTAAGTGCTTATATTCTCTATGTTTCTGTCCTAGTCCCTCATGTTTTAACTCTACACCAATCGCTGTTTGACTTCAATAACTTGTAAATGCCTATGGTTCCCAAGTCTGTACTTGTAGCTCAAACCTCTTTACTGAAGTCAGACCCATAGGTCCAAGTGCCAGCTAGATATTTCTAATTGGTTGTCTCACAGGACTTCAAAGGCAGTATATCCAAAACTGAATTTGTCATCTTCCTCCAAACCAGCCACTCTCCCTCTCCAGCCCCTATTTCAATGAAGGCCATCCCCACTCCCCTTTCCTCTCTCTTTTTCCTCAACCCCCATATCCAGTCAATCCCCAAATACTCATGTTTCTACCTCCTAAGAATTTCTAGAGTTGGCTCACTTGTCTCTACACCCTGGCCCTCGTCTGGGGCAGAGACTGTCATCTCTCACCACCTATGATTGTAACAGAATCCTAACTGGTCTCCCTGTCTCCATTCATGGCTCCTTTCCACCCATTTTCCACTCTGGAGTCAGAGTATATCTTCTAAAACACCAACCTTATTGTATGTATGCTCACTTTTTTTTTTTTTTTTTTAAATTTTCTTTCTTTCTTTCTTTTTCCCCAAAGCCCCAGTAGATAGTTGTATGTCATAGTTGCACATCCTTCTAGTTGATGTATGTGGGACGCGGCCTCAGCATGGCCGAAGAAGTGGTGCCTCGGTGCGCGCCCGGGATCCTAACCCGGGCCGCCAGTAGCGGAGCGTGCGCACTTAACCGCTAAGCCACGGGGCCGGCCCTGTATGCTCACTTTTAAACCCCTTTGCCTTCAGAGTCCAAACGCCGTAAGATGGCTCACAGGCTCATCATAGCCTGACCCTTGCCAGCCTCTCATGTCATCTCTCACCATGTTCCCCGTGCCCTTTACCACACTGAACTTCTTGCAGTTCATGAACCATGCTCTTTTTCCTTCAGGCCATTATACACGCTTCTCTCTTTGGCTGGAAACACTCATTCCTTTCTCTTGTGCTTAGATAACTCTGCTACCGCTATATCAGCTCAAGGATCACTTGCTTCAGAAAGCTTTCCCTACCTACCACAGGTTACGTGATACAGGATTTCATAGCACTGTAATACTTCCTCTAACTTAGCCCTCGCTTTGTAGTTACTGCTCCATTGTTGGTCCTTCCTGTAAACCGTAAATTCTAGAAGATCAGGGAACTTCTGTGTCTCATTCAACCAGCTTGGTGTATATTAGCCAATTAAACATTATTTTTGAATCAACAAATTAATGTGTCCAGAATATGGAAACTAAGGTAAATCAATGTTTGAGGATGCCATTGCGAATGGAGCTCTCAATACGAGGCTGCATCCCACAATCATTAGATTAGGACTTGCATGCTTTATCCACTCAGCCAGCTCCCAAAAATCAGCATGAACTTTGGCATTTTTCCTGGGAAATGTTCATTTTCCAAGGATTATTTCTTTAGAGCTAGTGTTTCTTAATTCTCAAAACAAACAAACAACAAAAATTCACAACTTAGTAACTAATTAATCAGTAGGTCTTAAGTCTCAATTTAGTAAAATATGGAAAGTAGAGGAAGTGGTAATTATTTACTGAGTCAAGGCTAGATGAAAAATAGGTAATCTAGAACATCCAGAACCTTCTCTCCAATCCACTGGGGCCCAAATGATCTCAATCAGCTGTCTAGCCTGGCCACATCCTGCAGACACAGTCTCAATTCTCTCTTTCAAACTGACTAGTCAGATCTGGCTGAAAGAATTACCTGCCACTGAGCAGCCTGACTGGTCTCGTTGGAGAAGGAATGACAAACTTCAGTTGCCCAGCCTTCAGGGCAACTCGCGCCTCCAGGCCTGTCTCATGGAAGAGGTTGGTGTTCATTTGGACCCCGCTCCTAGCAAAGTCTGGAATGATGATGCCCATGTTTGTCACGAACTCCACAGACACAGAGGGCTTTGCCACCAGTTCCGCCTGTATCTATAAGTCAGGAAACAACCTATTCAGCTTTGTTAAATATCTCAGTCCCCTGCATTCAGATCTACCACCCTTCCCATCCCCGGGCAAACATCTCCGGATAGGTCACACCTCAGGAACATTATCGTGATTTATTTGGAGGAAGAAAAGCCAAGTTCTCAGCTCCCCCCAGCCAGATTATACTGATACCCAATGCTAGAAAGTACTCAAGTTAAATTTGAGCATAACAGGATAAAAAGATGACAGGAATCCACATTTATTGAGAGAATAGGTGAGTTCTCATGTTACTCTCACGCCCAACTGGAGCTGGCGAGGTGGTGCATCCTGGTGGAACCCCGAAGATTTTCATAAAAATTAGTGAGGTGATTACAATGATGATGCACTTTGTCTTGAACTTGAACTTGCACAAGAAACCCACCCTGGAGGAAAAGAACCAATTGAGGAATCACAAGGTGAACAGAGCCTCACCTTGGCTACCTCCAGTCTCACTCCAGCCTTGATTCCAGGAGTGATGACTCCAGAGGAGGACACTTGCAGTTGTAACCCAAGTCCGGTGGGGAGTTCAAAGGCATTGTCCATGAAGATATAGTGAAGAAACAAGTCATTCTTTGAACCCTTCCTTATGATGTCTCCAATCTGTAGATCCGACAGGGAAAGCAACTAAAAGTGAGCCTCATCGAAGTCGGCTTTGTGAAATGTAACCTCCCACAGATCGGACAATAATTATTCTTCTTTATCCAGAAAGGAAGGGACTACCATATTTTGATTATCTGGTAAGTAAAGAGGAATGATTATTGGTTTCAACAAATTGGGATAAAAGAAATTGCCTTGGATAGATACCATGTCATTTTCAACTGGTGATTCAGAAGGTGCTTAAAAATATTGCTGGGGGGCCAGCCCCGCGGCTTAGTGGTTAAGTGCGCGCGCTCCGCTGCGGGCGGCCGGTTCGGATCCCGGGCGTGCACCAACACACCACTTGTCAGGCCATGCTGAGGCCGCGTCCCACATACAGCAACTAGAAGGATTTGCAACTATGACATACAACTATCTACTGAGACTTTGGGGGGAAAAAAGGAGGAGGATTGGCAATAGATGTTAGCTCAGAGCCGGTCTTCCTCAGCACAAAGAGGAGGATTAGCATGGATGTTAGCTCAGGGCTGATCTTCCTCAAAAAAAAAAAAAAAATTGCTGGGACTCAGAGCTGTATGAACTTTAAGTATCATTGCATGGCATGCTTAATTTTGGTTTTTTGGAGTCTAAATGTAAATGAGGGTTTACTTGAAGTACAATATATTATGGCAAAACCAATTTTTTGAAACCAATGACCTATAGGGATGATGAACATATTAGTATGCATTGATTTTTGTTTTAAAAAACATTTCTAGAAAATAACTTGAGATCTGTTTTCTTAAAGCCTACATTATTATTTATCAAATCCTAGAGAGTATATTTGGATATTTCCTCCCTTTTGTTATTAGTGCTGTTGAGTGTATTCTGACTCCTAGTGACCCCTTGTACAGCAGGGCAGAACCCTGCCTAGTCTTTTTTCGCACTATTCTCACATCTTCCGGTGCTATAACAGACAATGCTCCACTGCTATTCCTAGGGTTTTCATGGCCAATTTTTTTGGAAGTAGCTGGCCAGGTCCTTTTTCCTAGTTTGCCTAGTCTGGAAGGTCCACTGAAACCTGTCCACCACGGGTGACCCTACTGGTATTTGAAATACCAGTGGCATAGCTTTTAGCATCACAGCAACATTTTCCTCTCTTATTAATAAATTAATGATAATAAAAACTATAGTTACCGTTAGTGGATTAAAGTTTGTCAAATACATTCTTTCGTAATCATTTCAATATTAAAAAGAACCTGCAGTATAGGTAGAGGGAGATACATTTAACTTTCTTTTCCACATGAACAAAGAGTGCTCTTAAAAGATACATCTAACATTATGAATAGCATAATTTCTAAATGTTACTAATTTCTTGTGAATTTCACTGAAATTCAAGGAAAACTTGCCTGTCTGAAGGAAGTACAAGAGCTTTCTCCAGTTTTTGTGGCTGGGATCTAAAGGGAGTCTGGGAGATCTAAAAAGAGCACCAGCTAATCTCATCACCCTCTGATGGGGCCTGGCCCACTTACCATCTGAGGGATCCCCCGCAGAGTGCGAACACCATTCAGCAGCAGCCTTCCCAGGAGCTGGAGGTCATGGAGCCTGACAAAGCCAAGCTCCTCTCCCAAGATCTGGAGGTAGGCTCTGGCTTCTGGGGATTCTTTGGATTGCAAATCTTTGATCAGCTTCTCAACATTGAGCATAATTCCACTGACCATGTCCTGGGATTTTAACAACAAAATGTCTAGTGAGATGTCAGCACTGTCAAATACCTTCAGATTCCTGATATGGGGCCTGTCTGCTGTGGTGGTGATGGGCTAAAGACAGTCACTCACGGTGGGGATACAGGGCAGGCACTGAAATCAGGCTCCCACCTTCTACTGAAAGATAGGTAGCTCCTCCAAACTGAGATGAAAAAACTGAGGTCTTGTCAGGGATAGTAGGGCTTCCACACTGTTCTTAACTTGAATAACGCAGGCATAGTAAAGGGGATCTCTGTTCTCCAGGATGCTAGGATCCCAAGGGCTCCCCACGATTAGAAGATCCTCTGTCCCCACTCCCCACCCCCAGTGACCCCTTTCTCCTTTGATTAGGGAGGAATACCAGGGGTTTCTTGAGAAAACGAGGCTGCTATATAAGTTGGCCAAAAATTGAAAAACACCTGCTTCTAGACAATTTCTTCTTAGAGATAAGAATTCTATAGACTGATGCTTAGGCATTGAGAAAGAAGAGTGATTGACATGCCCAAAACAGATCAAAGACCCTCAGCCTCAAGTGGAGATAAGTAAATTAGAAGGTGGAGGTGGGGCCATCTATGAGCATGCAGGAATAAATTACTGCCTTGCTTCTCAAACTGAAATGTGCATACAAGTCACCTCGGGATCTCACTAAAATGCAGGTTCCAATTCAGTAGATCCTGGTGGGGCCTGAGAACCTGCATTTCTAACAAGCTCTGATGTGATGCCAATGACTGGACCACACTTTGGGCAGCAAAAAATTAAAGAATAAGAAGCTCCAGATTATAATCTATTTTCTGCTCCTTAAGTGGGGGCTTATGCTAGCTTCAAAGTGGATTTTACTCCCATTAGCTAGTGCACTGATAAAGAAAGCAGTTAACAATAATGAAAATATGAATTTAAAAAGTATAATAGTATCTACTTATTGAACAATCAGTACCAGAGTCAGGCACTCTGCTTAGAATTTTACACACTTTATTTCATTTAGGCTTTAAATAACCTTGCAAGGTATGGATTATTATTAGCACTCTGGGGATGCAGAAACAGATATAATACCAAGCAACTTTCCCACATGTGCACAGCTTGAAGACAGCGAGGTTAGAATTTAAACTCACGCCCCAGAATTCACTATCTTAATCATTATGCTAGAGTGCCTCTAATGAGTCTGGTTCCTGGGCACACTGAATCTCTAGGAGGCCCATAACTGCAGAGGGCTACCAGCTCTTACTCCCAAAGGACTGGTTAATAATAGCCACAGCTGTCACTTCAGCTAGATAGTTCCTTGATGACATTCAGGTTTAGATAAGAATGTTTTTGCACTGAGACCCAAAGCTTTCCTTGAGAGGATACTTAACAGAAACATACCTGGTCACGTTTGTCATCTTTGGTGTAACCAAGGTGGTCCACCAAGACCTTGGAGACATGATCAGGAATTTGATCATCAACCCAGTACAAAGCCTTGCTGACACTGTCTGGGAAAAATCCTTGCTTCCCAAAAAGAGCTTCCAGTGTTGGCTCAAACCCTTTTCCTTCCAAACCAATCTGAGAAAGAAAATTCCATTAGGTTTCTTTGTACATCAGCCTCCTATTCCCCTGTTTATGTCCATAAACAAGTATTTGATGAATACTACAGCACAGGAGCCGAGCCTAGCACTCCACAGGAGTTGTCTTATTTAAATCTCACTAGAATCCTGAAAGGCAGAACATTTTATTCGCCTTTTTCAAGAAGAGGTAGCCAAGGTTCAGAGAGAATAAACCAATTAAACCGAAGATTCAGAGTTGGGAGTGGATTTGGGGCTTGAACCAGATCTGTCTGATTGCACAGCCCATGCACTTCCTTGGATTTTGGGTCTAAGGGCTTCTCTGAGACATCTGCATTTCCATTCATACTAAGGAGACATGCTTCAGAAGACCCCTAGTGGGGAGGAAGGAAGGTGAGGGAGGAAGGAAAGAAAGAGAAGGAACATGATTCCTGTCCCTCCCCCGGCTGGCTCACAGCTCCCTTGACTGTTTAAGGTGTAGAACAGAATGGGTTAGAAAACATAAAACTCTTCTTCAGTCTCACACATACCTCGAAGAGGTCAGCTGGAGCAAATCCAAAGATAGAGAGGGTTGTTTTCAGCATGCTTTCTTTAGGAAGGTAATTGTTTGGATCAAATATAAGATTCCCTTCGATTTTGGCTGAGACTGGGTCAAGTGATGGCAGAGAAATAGATTTGGAAAGGTGATAGTTCCGGGAAAATTTTCTGAAGTCCATGAGTGTTGGAAGTTGAGATGTTTTCAGAGCTTCTTCCACTAACTTTTTCAAACTAGATGAAAAGAAGTATATTTTGAGCTGACACATCATGTTACTTATGCATTATCTCTCTCACCCCAAGTAAAGATGGATTTCCAATCACTACCAAACTCTTTGGGTTTCATTCGCCCCAAGAGTTTGGCTCAGGTCTGCTGCACTTCCACACAAGTGTTAGTTCCAGAAGAAAGAACACTGTATATAGCGCAGACAGTGGCTAAATCAGAATCGAGGTTTGGAATTTCAGCCCTTTGTGGCAGATGGGGGAAAATTACTCTTACTTACTCCTGGATATGCAATTCCTCTGAGTTTAAGATGTTGGCGATGTGGGAAGCCACAAAGTTCTTCACTTGCTCATTCTGTTCCTGTGGGAGAAGCTGGGTGATTTTGTTAATATCTGACTGGGAAGGGCCCCTCATCAGCATGAGATAGGCAGCCAGTCGCTTATCCCCTGGAGAGGCGTCATCGAGGAAAGTCTGTAGAAGGACTTCCCGGACCTGTAGCCAAAAGAGAAGACCATTTTCACTGTCCTGTGGTCAGAACACAGAATAGGTCTAGCCAACACTGGCACATCTGCTAGTGATTTATTATGTGCAAGTCTAATTTCTCTCTAATAACTCTTCAAATGCTGGTACTGAATCTTCTTGCCAGTGTTCCCCAGAGCAACTAACTCAAGGAAGGGTTCTTGGAAGACTTCTATCAAATGCATGTATTGAATTCAATTGCATTAAAATATGCAAGTTATAGCCAAGTTATGACTTGTTGGAGATCTGCCACTAGCTGAAAATAAAGTTGTTTTAACATAAATTATTTCAATGTGAGGGTAAAGGTAGGAAAGGAAAGCAAGAGTTTGGGTCTAATAAATAAGGTAGTTTCCAAAGCACTGAAGTCACTGTCACCTAAGGTGCGGGCAGGCTGACTATCCTAGTTTGGGAATATTGGGTAAAATGATGTATGTTTTCCCAAGAAGACATTTGATGGTTGACCTGATAGGAGGATAGCATGTAGTGAAAATCTCTTATTCTGCTGGAGTGGCAGCAAGGTCAAGCATTTCTCTCATGTCCATATACTGCTAGGCAGTCAAGTCAATAGGCTTGTTGAAATTGGAAATTAGAAAGCGGTAGAATAAAGTCAATAGAATGATGAGATTCTGAATCACATTCCAAATTCTTGTCAAACTGAATAAATGTTTCACTTTCAGACCTTCTCTGTGGACTTTACCTCATCTTTAAGTTCCATTTTCCGAAGAGCCTGGATGGCAGCCTTCTGAATCAGCAGTGATGGCCCAGGACTCTTGATACATTTCAGGACTGCAGACGTGAGTCTTGGGGTTAGCTGCTCCATGGTTTTGCCAATATTTCCAATGACCTGCATTGAAAAGCAACAAGAGGGAATCAGGGTGCAGGAGAGGTAAGGGATGTCCAGGAAAAGTGCTGCTGAAATGATGCATATTACACAAAAGACAGAAAGTACCCTCAGAATCAAGTAGGTATGATCTTCGTTGCCAGTGCAGTCATCACGAATCTGTTCCAACAGGTAATCAGCAATGTCCAGCAGGTCCTGGGTCGCTGTAGGGTTTGTCTTATGATAGCTACAGAATAAGAATTAGGACTCAGCAAGCATAGGTAGGTTTATCTTAAAATCCAAACTTGTGTGTGCTGATTTCTTATTTGAAGTCATTACTCTCAAAATTACCAGTAGAAAAACAAAAGAATAAGCATCAGAGTTTGAAAGTGGAGGGAGGAGAACAATCTTAACACTGAGGCTGTCTTCCTCAGCTCCCACAATGGGGAGAACCAGTGTAAAACTCACTTGTTAATCACGTGACTCAGAGCATAGAAGGTGGCCCGGCTCTGCTGCTCCTTTGCCGTGTCCAAGATCTCCCGCAGCCTCTGGGCCGAGGGCTCTGGGATCAGGGCCAACAGGTAAGTCACGACATCTATCAGAAGGGGGTTGGCTTGCTCACTTTTCAGCCACTGAAGGATGTGAGTGTAACACTGGGGCTGTCCACACTGAATCAAGGCTTGTAAAGTGATGGGGCTGAGAAGAAAAGGGCAGAGAAACTTATACAGATAGCCTTTGAGACAGTTAAAATACCCTTCCCCTGTGGTGTTCCCTCTGTCAGGAGTGCCCTTATTTCCCTTATTCACTATACAAATCCAACCATCTTTCAAAATCCAATGCAAATCCCAAGAACCAGGAAGCCTTCCCTATGAGCATTATCCACTGGTGAAGCACCATGGAGGAGAGTCTGAAGAAGGACCCCCCAGACTCATCACCAAAAGAGGACTGTTATCATTGTCCTTTGGTCAGAACACAGAATAGGCCAGGCAAACACTGGCACAGTCTCATTCAAGGCCTCAGTCCCTCGTCTGAACTCTACAGCACTTAGAGCACTTATACTGCCTTGAAATGTAGAGAAATCACAATATTTGTTTGCCCGTTTTCTCTCTCCACTAGGTCTACAGGCTTCCAGAGGGCACAAACTTCTTTTTCACTCAAACTTTCCAGAGTACCCACAATAGAACTAGGAATTAGAATATACCCATCAAAATGTGGGAACTATTTCCCTCCTCTTTTAACACACAAATACATATCTGCCTTGGATGCAATGTGTGTATGGGTGTATGTGCCCATGGACCTTTAGGGACCTTAGCTGATGTTTCTCTGTCCAGCAAACATTAACCAGCTGACTAATTGACTAACTGGATTGATATGTCCAATGGTCCCTGAGAGTCTCCATTTGGCCAAGGTTTCAAAGTTCAGCCAGCTTCCATAGCTTATATGAAAGATCGAGCTGCAACCATTTGAGAAATACCTGGACACCTCGATCAGCTTTGGCAAGAGGGATGTGACTGCCTCATTGTTGAGGCCTCTCAGTTCAGTAACCAGTTTGTGGAAGAGGTTAGCTCTTTGGGCATTCTGCTCAGAGACATGCAGTGTTTGCAGCTCCTGGAGGGTCTTCACGATGGCCTCTGCCTGCTTTGGAGGTGATGTGGATTTGGTGCTCTCAAAGGCAAGGCCCGCCACCTCAGCACCTGGGAGAAGGAAAGCATCAAGGAAATTCTTGCTTACCTTTACATCTCAACCACATTTTGGTCTATTGGAAACTGGAAATTGGGGAGTGATCAGCAAAAGGGAAAAGAGGAAAAGTATCTGGTACTTGATATCTGTTATGCATCTGGTTCTGTACTAGGTGTTTGACTTTCATTTTTTCACTGACTCATCATACTATCCCTGTGGGTTACTATAATTCCTCAGTTTAAAGATAAGTGAACTAAGACCCAGACATGAGCAACTCACCTTGCTCAAGACAATTCTGGATGTAAGAGGTAGAGCTGGAATTGAATCCAGCCTTGTTGGAATCTGGTATCAGATTACCACTTTGCCTGAGAGAACTGTGAAAAGGTGCTGCTGCTGTTATGGCTACAGCTGAGGCTAAACTCACTCATCACTGAGTTGAGGCTCACCCACTATCGCTTCCAATTGGATCTATTAGCAGCTTATGGGAAGACCCTTTTGTAAGCCCTCCATCACCCTGCTCTGACCTCCGCCAGGGAAAGGGATTAAGTCAGCATGGAAATGTGGTGCAACAGAAAGAGTCCTGGCTTAGATTAGACCTGGGGGCTTATTTTGCACTGCCTCTAATACTCTGTGACCTTGAATACATCACTAAGCCTATCTATGTGCCATTTCCCCTCTGTAGAATGGGTATAAAATCACACGTCGCTAGCAGCTGACATCTCGGGTTGCTGAGAAAAATGAGATCATGCATAAGACAGATGTAAGTACAAGACAAATGCAGGGCTGGAGATCTCTAAAGTCCCTTCCAGCTCTAAAGACCTATTCCTAACCCTGAAGGCCCTCTCCCACTTGCCCCACCTCGACCAGGCCCCAGGCCTTATTACAGGGTGTATGAGGTTGTCAGATCTACCACAGGTAGACTTAGGAGGCCAGTTTCCTACTTATGAAAACCTAGGTAGCTTTGGGAACTTCTCCCTTTCCTGGATCCCATTGCCACTCGACATTCTGAAATAAACATGCTTTCTCACTAGAGTAGCCCACAGCCAGAACACCTGAGCCCACTTAACTCATCAGGCAGCAGACATATCACAGGGCCCAGCAAGGAGCTAAGTGGTATATCCTGGGCAGATGTCCCAGCCCTGGCAACCACGTGGGCAGAAAGTCTTACCTCCTTCAAAGAAGCGGCTGTTGATCTTAGATACTTCTTCAGATTTCAAAGTCTGTGTAACCTGTACCATCATCCCATACTTATTCCTGGTAACAAAGGAAGCACACCATGTCATGGATGGCCAGCTCCCCACAGAATACAATTCTTTTCATGTTGAATATTTCCCCCATCTCCACTTCTACCCAAATCCTGCCCACTTTTCAAAGCATGGTTAAATCCTGCCAACCTTGATCACCCCTAATGAACAGTATCCATCTCCTCCCGGTCATGCTAGTTGTCCTTCCATCAGAAGGACATAGGTACCTTACACCCTCCACCAGTATGGAATGCCCAGAGAGTAGGGACTAACACTGTGCTTTAAAATTCCTTTGTATCTCTCACAGCACAGTGCCAAGAATATAGCAGTTACTCAATAAACATTAGTTGATTGATCAGTTTTCAAAATGGATCTGGATACACAAGTCTTCAGTCCAAATCCCAAATCCTCCATAAAGCCTTTCTAACCAGGGCAGCCTGCAGTGATCCCCAGCTTTTCCTGATCTATAGCCCTTAAAGTCTGGGTCTCAGATATCTTCTATTGCTCTCAAATTGTTTTGCATGCCTAAGATTTCCTGCCAAATTGCCTGTTAGCTTGAAAAAAGGGGACAGGGATGGTCTCTGCTTTGTACCTCTTCATAATCCCCTCTCAGGCGCTGCCTAGTTTGGAAGAGGGCACCTGAGAAGTATTCAGCTTACGTCGACCCCATAAATGATGAATCAGGGGCACAGCAGGTGACCTACTTGTAGGAGAAAGGCAGGAACAGGTGTTGCTCCTTGCAGATGGCTTCTGTTACATGCTTCCTCTTGGGGTCCAGGGTATACTGGCAGGACTGGCTGCTGCCAATCAGAGTTGACAAGGGGCGGACCTGTGAATGAGATTGGGGGAAAAATATTTTGGTCATTCCCTGGGGCTTGAACCTGTGTCTTCTGCCATAGGCATTTACTTTCAAGGAAGAAGAGGGGGTGGTGGAATGGGAGTTCTGTACCACTAGATAAGCTCAGTTAAAGAAGAGAACTTGGTACTTGACATTTAGACAAGGGATGCAACAACTTGGCATACCCAAATCTGAGTCAAGCTACAGACTTTATTCACCCCAGTGGACCTCTCAGCCTGCACAAAGTATATATAAACTAGTATCTTCCACATACCCATCCCACCACACATTAATACTTCACACACTACTGCTCATTATGTTTTCTTTGCCTAGAAGCCTGTCATTACATCTCTCTTCCATTTACGCATACAAAGATCCATTTGTATCTTTCAGATTCACGTTCCACATCCTCCATGAAACTTTGAGGCTAGACTAATTTGACACTCACCCATCATTTCTTTTAATTGAGTCTACTAGCAGCTTTGCCCAATGAGCTACGTGAATAGTGCTTTCTCCTTCCTGGTCAGACCTAGGACTACTTGTTTGCACTGCTCACTTTGTCACTTTATCAGGTACACCATCTATTGTCCTTTATCGGTGTGTGTATGAACTGTGTTCCTGCATTAGACTGTAAGACCCTCAGGGGAAGGTCCATGGTTCATCTGCCACTGTTTCTCCCTCGGTGCTGCCAGAGTGGGGCTGAGCACACAGCCGATGCTCATAAAAGACACACAAGCCAGTCCCTTGGCCTCTTCTGACTGTGGCCCTTATGGTCATCAGACTCCCTGTTTTTGGCCCCAAGGACAATGACCAGGAACATTGCCAGGCATAGCAGTGATTACTCAAGCCCTTTTTGTTTACTGAGACAAGTGGACTTGTACCCTGGAAGATGTTACAAGGCATTAGGCAGGCTCAGGTAATATGGTGCTATGGTGAGGGGGTGGCCCAGGCAGGAGAAGAGGGGCAGGCGGTGGTCAGGGTCGTATGCAGGATGGAAGGACAGGATGTTGGAACACTCTCAGTCACGTCACTCCATGGGAATGAGGCAGAGGAGAGCAGAACACAGGTTCTAGGACCTCTTTGGAGGCCAGAGGCTTAGAGCTGGGGACACTGGCCCTTGCACAGGAAGGAGCAGTAGGTGGCTGCCCTATGTCGAGCTCTGGAGACTTCTCAGGGATGGTCAGTCATTACTCTCAAGTGATGGCAGGTTTGGCACCAGTGACAGAATGACAGCAAGAAGGACAGAACTCTGGACTGGAAGTCAGGAACCTGATTCTAGTCCTGCCTCAATTAATAACAGGCCACGTGGTCTTGGGCAGTCCTGAGTTTCTTGCTATAGTCTATATAAAGAAGAGGCTGGGCCAGTTCTTCGCTGAGATCCCCAGGAGCTCTGACATTCCAGAATTTTAATAATAAAGAGGATGCTGCTTCGTGTGAATAGCAATGCTGATGTGAAACTTACCATGCCTCTGATCAAAGCCAGTGGGCTAACTCCTGTGCTGATGGGCTTGAAGTTATCACACTTCTCCAGGTTTCTTTCAATGGATATTTCTGTTGCCACATTTCCCTTCTGTGTTTTAACGGCAAAGTCACTGGAACAGTTTCCATACACAGTATCCTACAGGAGCAAGAGATACAACAGGTGTATTCAACATGGGAAAACCTCCTTAGGTGATTTGGGTGGGGCTGGGAAGGGAGCCTGGGAGAAAAGGTAGAAGCAACATGGATTTGGGAAGGACTTTCTTCCTCCTAGGCAGAGTGTGGGCATGGCTGGTGCCTGGCTGGCCAGAGGCAGAATGGGAAGACCGGTTAAGTATGGTTCTGGTTCTGAGGCACACCGGCATGGCTTCCGAGGATCTAGCCACCTCTGACTTTACATTCAGTGTTCTCCGAGCATTTTTGCTTGCTCATTTATGGCATGTATTCCAACATGCCTTGTTATGTGTGTCTGGGATCTCCCCCCAGATCCTGAGAACTCCGAGGGAAGGCCTCTGCAGGATGCAGCTCTGAATTCTCAAGTGCGATGTAGTGTAGCATAGAACTTAGAACACAGTAAGACCTCACAAATGTTCGTGGGACTCAAGTAAATTGAATTCCCTCTCAGATCGAAACCTGAAATTCTTAAAAGAGGCTGGCAACAGATTCAATTATTTTCCGTGTTTAAAATACACACAGACTTTACTGTGTTACACCTTGTGGGAAGAGAACAAAATCAAAGGAATAGGGTGGTCAGAACTCCTGCTTTAAAATTAGACCCAACTTGCTCAGGATGACTCATCAGTGAGCCCAGGGAATGGGGGAACCTTGGGCACTGGTGCTTCACACCAACATAGAGCCTCCTGTGTAACAAGCCATGTAGCTAAGCCAATATCCACTTTATGTTTATGGGGGGACCTGTCTGGAATCTGTGAAGATGAGTTCAAAGGGCCGCTATTAGAGCTTTCTAACTTCTCACCAGGAACAACACTTGTGTAGCCTCTTCTGTCTCCGGGGGAACCAGGAGGGCAGAAATGATGCCCCTCTTGATGTTCAGGATGTGCTTCGGTTCATCCTTCTCTGGGTAAAGTAACACTTGCTTCCCTTCAGGAATGGCCAGCCTGAGCTCGTGCCTGTCCCAGAGAGAGCGTGGTCACAGAAATGTCCTTTCTCCATTGTGAGCCTGCTGGACATAAGCTGGGTGGCTTTGCAGTCTCCTTTTTACTTATTGTTTTCCTTTTTACATCTTTTCTTTATAAATATATCTATGCATACACATACATTTTTCAAAAAAGTATACAAATACATGTGTATATCCTGCCTTCTTTTATTGTTTTCCATTTTTGCTCGACTCACCCATCCCCTCTCTGTTCTCTACCTGCATCAGTCTCTGCTGCCAGGCTCCCCATGGATCAACCTACTGGGTGTTTCAAGTGTGTCTCCATGCTCAGACAATCCTATATAGATGTGTGGGGGTGGAAACATCTACATATAAAAATTTTGTCATTGCTTGTTTTATACAAATGGCATTGTATTATACATGCTTTTTTTAAAATCTTGCTTTTCTCAATTATACTCCATGAAATGATTCTGAGATATTTGGTATAGCTCTAACAGATTCTTTCAATAGCTGCATAACATTCCATTCTATGGTTATATATAATTTATTCAGATGTTCCCCTATTTGATGGCATTCACTTTCTCTCTTTCTGGATTTTTTTCTTTTGCCACACGAACAACACTGAAACAAACATCCTTATGGATATATCTTCACACATTACTTCTTTTCTTTTCATGGGCTAGAGTCCCAGAGATTGAAATTGCTGTGTCAAAGACTCTAAGTGTTTTTAATTATAATAGATATCGCCTAATGGCTCTCATTTCCACCAGCATTGCATGAGAGTACACTTTCCCTCATAGGCCTCCCAGCAACAAGTGCTATAGTTGTTCTCAATTTTTGTAGTCTTCTGGGTGTAAGGTGATAAATGTCTTATTGTTACATTATTTGCATTTCCTGACTACTAGTGAATTTGAGCTTCTTTTCAGACATTAGTTGGACATTCACTCTTTTATGTGGTCTCAGGCCATGTCTGAAAGCCTGGGTCAACTTTGATCTTAGGGACTTTCCTTTGGGGACTTCCTTTTGGGGCTTTCAAAGGGTCTGGCCGCACCCGCTCCAGTTGAGTCAGAAGGAGGAAAAGGAGACCAGGCAGGTCTCCCACAGCTCTACGTCTTCTCAGAAAGTTCCAGACACTGTGATGCAGGCTTGAAAAGCCTTGAGGTGGTCAAGAGCAGGAGTCCCTTTCGTTTGGAGGAGAGTAAGGACCAAAAAGTAACTACTACTCCCTCCCATCACTACACCTCACTCTCTCATAAAATAAAGCATGTTGGTGAGAGCAAGAAGCATCAAGGTCTACTACTCTGCCGAGAAAAGACTGGCTTCCGAGTCTAATGTTTAACAAATGGAAAGATGGGAAGGGAGGGATTTTCCGACGTTACCAAATCAACAAATCTGGACTGCCTGCATTAGGACACTACAAACTGTGACTGGGAGATGAGGCAGGGGTGATGTTCAGCATGTTTAACAACGGGTACAACATGGACACTGATCAGTCAGAAGAGAGGTGGCTGCAAACAGCAGGAATGTCCTGGTGAGCACGTGCTGGCAGAATGCTGGCCCTGGTGGGGAACCGCTCAGGCCTTGGCTCTCCCTGGATTCCCTGAGGCTGGGCCTTGCTCTGCCCAGAACAGACCCTGCCCTGCCAGGTGTAGGCCATAGCAACAAGTTCTGCCGGGACCCTCCCTGAGGACCACCAGGCACACCTGTCTTGTTTAATTCCTTAAACAAGAATTCACTTGTTTAAATAAACCATCTCGGCTTTGTTGTCTCAAGAAGTTGAAAGTGTGAGATCTTTTAGAGACAAATTTAAATAATAATTAGGGGAACTTCACTAGGGGAGGGTAAATAATGCTTGTCTCTTTTTGATTGTTGTGAAAACTCAGCAATTCCCTGATCCATGGTGAATACAGAATACAAATACTCATACTCACACACATGCCTAATATGAACACACACATTCATCCCTCACTGGACATACACACACACGCACACACATACATGCACGACACAGCCAGTGAGGCCCAGAGCTCAGACATTTAAATACACAGGCCCAGGCCTTACTTGGACATGGCGGCACCAAACTCTTCAGAGTTCTTCGTCTTCTTCAGCAAGGGCTTGCCCTTAGGGTTGATGCCATACACCTCTTTCAGGGTGCACTGGCTCGTCTTCAGGATTAAGCTGCAGAGTTGGGGGACCTCCAGCTCGACCTGAGAAGAGGGTAAATGGCACATGAGGACTCTCCATCAAGGATGTGAGATCCCCCCGTGGCCCAGGGCTTACTTGCTAATCAGGACACCCAGGGAAATGCTGTTGGGGACGTGACATCTGCTCCCTTACACCACATGTGTCCTTATCATGCCTCACAGGTTCTCCATGAATCAAGACTTAGTTCTATTTGGGGCCTTTTCCATGTTCTGGGGAACCAGGTTTCTTCAGTTTGCCCATATGCATGTAAAGGAGGACATCTTTTTATTGGTTCTAAATGTACTCACTTTAGTTGTAAAGACATACTATTGGTTAGAAGAAATGCAGCCTAGGAGTGAGAGTTAAGAACAAAAACAGGAAGCAGGAGGAGGGCTATCACTGGTTTCAACAGCAAATGCTTCCTCAATGTCACCAAAAAAACCCAAAAAGCCAAAACCATTTGTATGGTTAGGGCCTATTCAGAGCTTCACATATAACTGGAGCTTAATCAGATTGCTAGTTTTTATCCAGCACTGTTCAAAGAACTTTCTACAATGATGGAAATGTTCTATATTTGCACTATGCAATATGGGAGCCATCAGCCATGGATGGCTGTTGGGCACTTGACATGTGGCTGGTGTGACTAAGAAACTGACTTTTTACTTTTGTTCAATTTAAATAGCCACATATGGCCAATGGCTACCTTATCTGATGGCAGAGATGATGGGGCCTTAGAAAGAAGAAGGCAACTCAGCCTGACTTTTCTTCCCCACACGAATCCCACTAGTGACCCTTCGATCTGTTCCACGTGAACATGGACATGAGTACAACCAGTCTCAACAATAAGTAAAGTTTTATTTGAGAACAAACTGCAATTTAAAAATTTTCTTTTCCCCTTTGTTTTTAGTAACAGATACTATTTGACTTAGATAAAAACTGCACTCCGGAATGCCTTCCTGAGATGCCCATCTCCCTTGGCTCACCCACTGGGCATCTCTCATCATGTTAAACCTGCTGGCCTGCATTGCTGATATTCTAGATCATATATTCCAATTACATCTTGGAAGCTAATGGGAAAATAAATCTGGTTGACAAAATTTTCTGTGGCAGATAACTTCTGAGCAAACTGGCTGACTTTCAAGCTGAGGGCCAGTCCCCGCACTTCGAGGTTACAACAGTCCTGGCATGAGCCGTGTGTGCTCGGCCGTGGGCTCTAGGCTCCTCCAGTGGCCCCCCTCCCCACTCATACCTTGCAGTTGATCTTGGTGGTGCTTCTCGAATCGGCGGTCCCGGGGACCCCACTGGAGCTCTCAGCCTCGTAGTTGTACGTGTACTTCCGGAGGTGCTTGAATCGAGTTGCATCTTCTAAAATGAGGAGGAATAAGTCAGCCACATAGTAGAATAACTCTCCCAAGGAAAGTCCATTCTGGGCAGGGAGGGTAATCAAAAATGGTAATTAAACTCAAATTAGTTTTAATTGACTTTGCGTTATATTTAATTTTCCTTTATAGACTTAACTGCTTCATTATGGTTTTGCTGAGGCCAATCTTTACATTAGCTAGCATTCTTTGAATATATAATTTGAGGTACAAGGAGGGGAGCGTCAAATAATGGGGCTCGGAAAGTCTACAGGAGAGACTCCTTGGAAAATTAAGAATTGATCGCATAGAGCAAATTATATCTAATTGCCTTTTCAGCTTGCAAATACTATAATTCTGTGGCTCTTTTTTGGTTCTATAAAACACCTAAGGCAAAGTTAATTAAGCTTAGGGGTGTCTGGCTGACTTAAGAAACTCCCAAGAAGGAATTTCTGGAGGTTTCCACCCTGCTTGAGAGAAATTTTCTGAACAATTTGAGAAAAGGAACTTTTGGGTCATGAGCACAGGTGCAGTGATGCCAGACACCCACGAGATGGCAGTGCTGCCCCATCAGAGGTCAGCCTCCCGCTCTCAGGAGAATACCCGCTACCGCTTCAAGGCCAGCTCCCTTGACCCCTAGAGGTCAGGTAAACGAAGGGGTGGGGGTCTGGATTTCCGCACAAAGGTTAAAAGTCAACATTTCCTCACCGTCCTGTTCTTCAAATCAATGATTAGTCACTGATAAACAGGACGGTGGTGTTTCTTTCAAGGGTCCATGGGCTAACAGAGTACTAGTCCCTTCCCCACCCTGCCCCCAGACCAAGGTTTTGGGACAGAACAGAAGGACGGGTAGGAGAGTTGAGACCCCTTGGGAGTGGGCGGAGGCCCAAGGAACTGGCTTCTTGGGGCTCAGAGCAGCGCACGCCCATCACAGCATTACAGCATTTTTGTGACCTGAAGTGCAGACGAATGGGTCGCGGGGTGGGGGTGCCCAGTGGGGAAATGCCTTACTTGAACAGCTGGGACTGACATTTTCCGGCACTTCGGCTTCTGTAAGAAAAAGAGAAAGACACCTGTGGGGTTTCCCAGTCTTTGTTGATGGGTCCTTGGGTCCTAGGGTCTGACAGGGAGGACCACTGCATGCATGGGACTTTTAGGAGGGAAGCAAGTTCTGGAGAACCCACTCCCCAGCCCCTCCTCCCTCCTCTCCCCATCCTGAGTCTGGAGGAGCCACCCAGCAGGTGCTGGCCCCCGTCCCCCGATCCTGTGGCTGCCCTCCCTCTGTCCCAGGCAAGCTGCCCCAGCCACCGCTCCCGCCACTGGCTTGCACTGTCTCTGGTCTGGCTCCTGGCTGCTCCCCGCGCCACGCACCCAGCGGCGGCGGGGCGGGCCGGACCCCTCACTCACGGGCCCGGGAGCCGACGGCGAGCAGCAGCAGCGCCGGCAGCAGCAGCGCGGGCCTCGGCGGGCCCATGGCTCGTCCCTGCGCCTCGCTGGCTCCGCGCGGACGGGCGCACCGGCGGCCACCCTGCACCGCGAGCTGGGAATGCGCGCCCGGCGCCCGCGCCCTATTTATACGAGGCCGCTGGTCGGGGCCACAGCACCCCGGCTTAAAGAGCGCCTAGCGAATTGCAAAAGGTACAAAGGGCAGCGTCCTGGGCCTGTTTGCTTTTCTACACCAGGCTCGTCTCCGAGCCGCGAGGAGGGGCCGGCGAGGGGGCTCAGCTCGGACCCGGCCAGGGCCACGCCAGCCTTTCCTCTGGCCTGGCCTGTCCTGGCCTGTCCTCGGGGTCTCAGAGAATGGGGACGTGGGATCCGTGGGCTTAGAGCCTGGGAAGCCTACCCTTCCCACCCATCGGTGCCTTCGGGAGATGACCAGGC